GGAGGTGATGGTGTTCCAGGAACCACATCAGACGAACGTTAACCATACGTTCAAAAAGTTTGCAGACAACTTGTGAGAGCAATTGGGCGAAAGTCCTTAGGGGAAGTACCCAGAGACCCCGGTTTGCGAACAGGGAGGACAACGGCATCGAGCCAGTCCTCAGGGACTGACGACGACTCCCAGATCCGATTATACAGACTCAGTAAATACTGAGACGTGCTCGGAGGGAGATGGCGAAGCATCTCATAATGAATACCATCGGAGCCCGCCGCCGTAGAACTGCAGAGGGCCAGAGCAGAACGAAGTTCAGAGAGAGAGAAGGGATCATTATAGGGAAGCTGAAGATGAGTGCAGAAATCTAAAGGACGAGACTCAAGGACAGGTTTACGAAGAAGGAAAGATTGGGGAAGATGAAGACCAGAGCTAACAGAAGAAAAGTGGGAACCCAGTTCGGAAGCGACCTGCAACGGGTCCGCCACAAGAGTATCATGGAGGTGAAGGACCGGTGAAACATCGGGAACGAACTTACCCGCTATCTTGCGGATACGCTTCCAGATCTGGGCCAGAGGGGTTTCGGACGTAAGTGTTGAGACATAAGATGCCCAACATTCACGTTTAGCCGTACGGATGGCCCTACGGGCCACCGCACTCGCTTTCCGAAAGAAAAAAGAATCGGTCGTCTGCCTACGGCGGTGCCTCTTCCAGGCTGCACGCTTACAGCGGACAGCCCGAGCACAGTCCGCATTCCACCAGGGAACGCACTTCCGCGGACCCCGAGAGGAAGAGCGAGGAATAGAGCGGAGGGCAGCATTGAAGACAGTGTCATGAAAAAGGAGGAGAGCGCGAGAGAGAGGCAGAAGGGAGAGGTCAGAGAGAGCAGCACTGAGGGTAAATAGGGTCCAGTCTGCCTTAGCAAACTGCCACCTAGGGAAAGAGAGGGAAGGGCGAAAAGAGAAAAAGGAAACAAGGATGGGGAAATGATCACTTCCATGGAGGTCATCAAGAACCTGCCACGTGAAATCTAAGTAAAGAGAAGAAGAGCAGAGAGAAAGATCAAGACAAGAAAGGGTGCGAGTCCGAGAGTCCAAATGAGTGGGCTCACCAGAATTCAGAAGAGACAGGGAAGAAGATAGGAGAAACGGCTCAAGGAGGCGACCCCGGGTATTCGTCAGAACGTCACCCCAAAGAGAATGACGACAATTGAAGTCACCCAGCAGGAGCACAGGCTCCGGCAAGGAGTCTAGGTGGTGTTTCAAATCAGGAAGAGAGAGCGGGACACTCGGGGGGAGATAAATGGAACAAACTGTGTACCATTTCCCCACAAAGATACGAGCAGCAGAACAATGGAGAGGCGAAGGAAAAAGTAAAGGAACAAAGGGAACATCTGCACGAATCAAGAGAGCAGAAGAATTAGAAGCCCCAGCAATGGCTGGGGGGGGGGGGGGGAGAGAAAGGAATAGCCACGAAAACGACCAGGACGAGCACCAAGCATTGGCTCCTGGAGACAGACACAAAGGGGCGAAAACCGCGAAATCAGAAGTTGGAGTTCGAGGAAATTGGCGTAATAACCTCGAACGTTCCATTGAAGAATGGACAACGACGGGAAGAGAAAGGACAAAAACAGAGAACAAGGAAGAAACAAAGGCGAAAGAGCGACAGAGCACGTTAAAGAATATCAGGGTCGGGATCAGGGTCAGCAAAGTCAGGGGTAGGGGCATGGGTAAACTGAGCAAAGACGGAGGGAAGGAAACGGGAGAACAGATCAGAGGTGGGCAGGCGGGGTCCGGAGGAGGAGGAGGAAGAGGAGGAGACAACGGAGAGGAGCGGTCAAGGACAGCAGCAGGAAGAGGGGGAGTAGAAAGAGGGGAGCGCACCCCAGCAAGAGCAGCAACCGAAAGGGAAGCAGGGGCCAAAGAAACCTCCATAGCAGGAACAGGGGGTGCAACCACTGAAACGGGAGGGGAAGGAGCAACAGAGCCAGAAGTAGGAGCTAAGGAAGAAAGCGAAGCCTTCTTACCCGCCGGGGAAGAGGGAGAGGAGCCAGGCTTACGCTTCTGACTTAAAGAGACAGGTGTCCCAGCAACTACGTACCGGGCAACGGATTCCAGTGTCTCAACAGGAGAAGCCGAACGAGAGCACACACGACGGCCGTTAGGAGAGCGATGGACATCCGCCTGCACCGACAGGCGGCGGGGAGAGCCGAGAGATGGAGGAAGAGGATGGGAAGGAGGATCGGAGGGGGACGAGGAAGAAGACACAGGAGACATGACAGACCGGGTGGAAAGAAGGGGAACCCCAGACAGAGGACCAGGAGGGGGACCCCTCGGGAAAGAACTCAAAGGAACAGAGGAGGGGGCAGTGGGCGTATCAGGGTCCAAGGCCCGGAAACGGTTGAGAGTCTGAGGAAGGGGGGAAGGACGAGGAGAGGAAGAGCGCAACACGCGAGCATAAGAGATGTTAGTATAAGGCGGGAGCCGGCGAACCTGGCGCCTCGCCTCAGGGAAAGACAAACGCTCCCGGTGCTTCAGGTTAAGGACGGCCGCCTCAAGCTTGTAATGGACACAGGCACGGGAGAACGTAGGATGGGCCTCACCGCAGTTGAGGCAGCGAGCCTGGGGAGAAGTGCACTCCGACTTAGAGTGACCTTCACTCCCACACAAAGGACAGAGAGAGACAGTCCCGGAGCAGCGGAGGGCACCATGCCCAAACCTCCAGCACTTATTACAAAGTCGAGGAGAAGGAATATACTCCTGGACAGAGCACCTAGCACCAGCAAGAATGACAGAGGATGGAAGGGTCCTACCATCAAAGGTGATCTTCACAACGCGAAGGGGTTGACGGCGACGACCACGAGGGGGACGAGTAAACGAGTCAACCTGGAGGACAGAATGGCCTTGGGCATCAAGGATATGCCGAATATCATCGTGGCAATCCTGCAGATTCCGAACACCGGTTGCAACATGGGGTGGGAGGAGAATAGTGCCAACACTGGAATTCATCTGAACGTTCTTGGAGACCCGAACAGGGATCTCGCCAAGGCAAGATAAGGCAGCCAAGCGGGAAGCCGCATCCTGAGAAGGAGCAGCAACGACACGTGTACCGAGACGAGTGGGGTTGAAAGTAACACATGCATCCACGGAATCTACAAGATGCCGATGGAGGGAGAAATCGTCAGGAGGCGCAGAATCAAGAGGGAGGAGATCAAAGTATTTGGCCCATGAAGCAGGACCAAACAAGGCTTGATACGCATCAGCACGGGAAGGAATCGAGCGAGTGCGGTTGGGGCGCGAACGGCGTTGAGAACCCCTAGAGAGAGAGGGGTCAAAAGGCGCAGTAGTCACAACGAAAGACTTAGCCACACCAGGGGACGAAGTGGTCACCACCGGGGGCTGGAGGCTCGACCCAACCTCAGAGGAGGGAGGGGAGCTGGGGGAAGAAGTCAGGACGGTCAAAGGAGGAGCAAGGTGGGGGCCCAACGCAGCGGGAGCTACAGAGCCTGGTCTTCCAATACAGGCCGACTCGGGGGCTTGGTCGCCCACCCCACGAGCCTGAGAGGGTACAACGGAAACATTCAACGACAGAGACGAAAAGTGACAAATTCATCCACGAATGTGCCCCCATACCCACCATGGAGCCACAATTAGAGGCAGGACACCCAACAGGAAGCTATCGCTGATCACGCCGGGGCCCCCTAGGGGTGCGTCGTGAGTATACGCCCCACAAACGCCACCTTAAGAACCGTCAGTCCGTCGAGATCGGGTTCAGCGACGAAAGGGGGATTGACAATAAAAGGTTCCCCTCGCTCGAGACGTCGGGTACTACAGTTCTACGGGTGCAAGAGTATGCCTCCTCAAGCACCCGGGCGTCAAAATAGAAGAAGTCCAAAGAAATAATCCAAAACAAGCAAAAGGTCGGCAGGAAACGACAAGCAGATAGGAGAAGAGGGGGGAGAAAAACGAAACATAAGGAAAAGGAAAAGCGATCCGGCACAATTGGAGAAGACAGCAGCAGGAGTGCAAGGCCAGAAAAGGACAGAGGACTGCCCAACGGAGCATCACACTCCGGCAGCCGTCCACCAAGCCCCCTCACGACGCCAACGGGCCGGAAGGGGAGGGGGAAGGTCGGCAGGAAACGGCAAGCAGATTGGAGAGGGGGGGAGAAAAACTAAACAGAAGGAAAAGGAAAAGGTGCCCAGCAGAATTGGAGAGGACGGCAGCAGGAGCACAAGGCTAGAAAAGGACAGGACTGTCCCAAGGAGCATCACACTCCGGCAGCCGCCCACTAAGCCCCCACACGGCAACAAGGAGCCGAGCAGGGAGGGGCAACGTACGCCAATTGCCCGTTAATTCTGTTACCAATTCTCCCCCCTCCCCTCTTTATGAGCGAAAAAAAATACAAAAGTGTCTGTTCAAACCGATGACTTTCAGAATTTTTTTTGAACACCAATCTTTGAACTGAATTTTTTAGACAAACTTGTCAATACCCTAAACGATTTTTCACAAGTAATCTTTCCATAGATTATAGAGGCCGTGCAGAGGGTAATAAAGGGTAGGAGAAGGGAATGGAATTATTAGGAGACGGCGCCAAGCCATAGCAAATATTACCACCGGGAAAGTGTCAGGATAAGTATTTCGGACGGGGGGGGGGGGGAAAGGGGGGGTTGAAGGGTTGGTGTCCAACCGATTTGATTGTCTGAGGTTGAACGCCGACCTGCATGAAGACCGTCGCTCTAGCGTCCAGCCAAAATGATTTGAGAAACTGGTGGGAGTAAATGGCAATTTTGTTGCTCTAATCTCTTCCATTTTATAAAAGACTGGTTAAATCTAGTACACGATTCATTCTCATTTTTACTAGCCTCGTATACAATATTAGATTGTTTTGACGTGGTAATATTAGTTCATGTAGGTGGTCAAGTCTTGCATATCAAAATATCTCATTCGGGTAAAGTGACGAACCTTTTGTACAATAGAATATCGTCAAGGTTCCAAACTAAATTCAAATTTACTATTCATACGTATATTAGAAGTAGAACAAGCATGTTGCAGTCAACTTTTAATTTACACACTATTTTTACAGTATGGAAGCTATGTGAATGAAGCTAAAATGGAGGCCACTGGAGGTTCATTTGGTGTGATGGTTGTCCATAGATGTGCCGAGGCCAGAGCCAGTCACCTCTCTGCCGCTCTGGGAAGGACGGGCTGGACCAGTCTACAGGGCTTCCACCCGTGCCGTATGAAGTAACTTTGTACTCACGACTGACCGATCTATTAAAGAGAAGCTTTACATAAACTTTGGATGTACTGAAGAATAGGGTATTTGAAGCCAAAGAGGCAAGGCATTTATCTGGAGAAAGCACCAAGCCATCACTATAGCATATCAATGTCAAAAACTTTATCCATTATAATAAGTAACCGGGATTTTGACTCACGTGACACGACCATCTCTGGTGCTGGACGAGTGAAAGCTGAAGCTACTTTCGTAAGCTGGAAGACCCTCGTTTCCGTAGCCCCAGTCTCCAAGTTGGGTCAAGGCATTCTGACCAAGAAATAAAACTTGTGGGTTTGCCCAAATTTTCAAAATTTTAAAAACCAATCTACGGTAAAAATGCAAATCATGCCTAAAATTAAGTAATCTGAATGAATAAGATTAAAAACTTCAAAATTCCGAGCTAAAATCTCCGAAACCAATTTAAATTCCTTAAAGTTATTGTCTACATTCACCAAATTAGGGAGGATTTAGGCAGAAAAACTAGAAAAATAAAAATCTTAATTTCCTGAAAATAATTTAATCACTGCCCATTATTCAAAAGTCCTATATAAAATAGTACAATTTTCGGCAGTGTTTAACAAGCATTAACTACAGCCAAATTATTCTAATAAAATATCGGCGAACTCTTGGTAACTAACATGACTAACAATTTAAACAAAATTTTCATGTCTATTAAGTTAACCAAATTGAATTCTTACCCGGAAGTGAGCAGCAGCCAGAGCGCGAAGGTTCTCGTTAACTCTCTTCATCATCAAGACATCACGTCTAAAGTTACTGAAAAAAAATAAAATTTAGCTTCGATACGATTAAAAAGTACGAATTATCGTGTCAAAAGTTACGCTAGTATATTAGGCGTCAGCTTCAAGGAAGCTATATTGCAAGCCAAAAATGTGAACACTAAACACCTTTCCATGGGATGTTAGAGAAGGATACCATTATGAAAGTGAAATGGTGATAAAAGGTACAAACTTTGAAACAACAAGTCAAAATATTTATATTTTTTTTTAATCTTTGTAAATTAAATAAGCATTTAAGAGTGTCTGCTAGTTAAGATTGTTTCTGTAAGAAACTTCAGGAACCAAACTATTATTATTTCCCCACGAGGAGAATTTCCAAGTTAATTGTCAAGGGCATCTAGGAAATCTTTTCAAAAATCCAGATGGTAGAATATTAATATAAATAAATCAAATTCCTTACGGTATAAGTGCAGGCGACGGCACATTCACTTGCACCGCTGTACCTAAACGTGGAAGCAAGATTTCAGTTCCACCAGAGTTCTGGGGAAGCAAGATCTCCGTCGAAGTAGGTGTTCTGGGAAGATAAACTTCCGTATCAACAGATTTAGTAGCTGCCACCGGCACTACAGCTGTATTGTCTACAGCAGTTTCATCCTGCGCCGCCACCCCCAGAACCATTAGAGCCACAAACGCAACAACAAAATATTCATCGTTAGACATCTGAAAACGACCCAGAGATAACAGCCTTTAATAATCCGACAACTTGCTCACACATTCACTAACCAAACACCACGAAAACCATAAGTAAATCCCAATTATTCAAATAAATCATTCTCACCCTCGTCACAACCTCCACAAGCGTATGAAGGTCCACCACACACACACACTCGAACCAAACTGCGGTGAACCCCGACACTATCTCCAGTTGTCAGCTTGTATGAAACACACGCCCGGTACAGTCATGTAACGCCATGCTGTGGTGAGTTGCCAAACATTATAACATTGCCCTAGCGACATCTGTTGAGCTGGGTACGCATTACTCGCGGGGGGGTGGGGGGGTGGTGGGGGTGGGGGGGGGGGGAAGAAGGGAGTGAATGATGGACATTCGGTCAGGTGAAGGACATTTGCAACGATTTGTTCATTAGAAGTATATATACGATTCACTGAGCCTATTATTGATGATTATCTTGGATTATATTCTCTCACTTTCTCACCTGTGTCGTCATCACTCTCCCACCTGTGTCGTCATCACTCCCTCACCTGTGTCGTCATCACTCCCTCACCTGTGTTGTCATCACTCTCTCACCTGTGTCGTCATCACTCCCTCACCTGTGTCATCATCACTCCCTCACCTGTGTCATCATCACTCCCTCACCTGTGTCGTCATCACTCCCTCACCTGTGTAATAGTGAGTCTGTGAGGACGAGTTGCTTTAGACACGACTCACAACTGATTACGTTCAACTTTTTCTTTAACATTGTTTTGCGCTTTTCTGTGTTGGAATCGCAGCCGGTCGTCCTCATCAACAAGGCCAAATGCTCATTAATCCAGCCACCAATTCCCTGTTTAAGGAGGAAAAATTATTTACATAAGACTCACTACTAATGACATTCGAACATATCTCGAACACTTTCTGTCCGCTTTCTAGTTTGAAACTAAACGTTTGCATTCAAGAATTCCAGGAAATATTCTGTTATGAGTGTTTTATTGGAATTTTTGCTAATGAATGATAAACCGAATAAAGCAAATTTAGCAAATGATAAAGTACAACTGTAACCTCAATCAAAAGTTATTGTGATATATTGTCACCACGGAGACAAACAGTCTCCGTGGTGTAGTGGTAAGACACTCGCCTGCAGGCGTTCCGCGAGCGTTATGTCATGGGTTCGTATCCTGGCCGGGGAGGATTTACTGGGCGCAATTCCTTAACTGTAGCCTCTGTTTAACGCAACAGTAAAATGTGTACTTGGATGAAAAAACGATTCTTCGCGGCAGGGGATCGTATTCCAGGGACCTGCCCGAAACGCTACGCGTACTAGTGGCTGTACAAGAATGTAACAACTCTTGTATATATCTCAAAAAAAAAAAATCTCATATGGTACTATCGGTTACGAAACATTTAATTCCTCCAGGTGTTTTTTAATCTCATCTACAGTGAACGTGTTTTCTGGTGTATATTCTAGCTACTTATCATCTCTCTTATGAGCGTTAGTTTGTGTGTATCCCCATACTCGTCCAGACAACAGAACGCATCTCCATATTCTCCTGAGACTGATGGGTGCCTACCACTACTCGTCCAGTGAGTGATAGCGCAAATGACTGGGAGAGAGCACAAAGGTTCTTGAAAAACCCACTGGATGTTGTTTGAAATTCAGTTTTACAACATTATCTTCATACCTCCCAAGTCATTATAATGACGGCGTGCAACGGAACACTGCCTGCATTACAACTGTTATGTATGATAATGTAATATTAAACATTGCAGATAAATCCTTTTGGCAATACTGAATATTAATTTTCGATATTGGATACTACAGAGTAATGAAGGTATTGCTCTCCAGCTTATGCATACAAATATTGAAAAGAATAGAAAATGCAATTTGCTTTGGGCAGACTGAAATTTTGCTCACATTCGAGCAATTAAAGACATAATGAGCCTAATTATGATATCGGGACGTTTATTAGTTTGTGTAATAATATTAATTCCTGCATATTAGTTCCAATAATAAAATGGATTAATAAGCCTGTGACCCAAATTTTACTTGTATTTGCAATTGCAAAATTGCCTCTTTTTTCCATTCTATTTCCTCTTGCCAGAAAGACAGTGAAGCACGTTACTTCGCATCTCATCTACCCCAGTATGACAGAGTTCCTCTACCTGGTAACTAGGAAGATGGATAGGATTGTTCCTCCCAGCAGCCAGGATAATGACCAAGTACCATTTCACAGGCATCCAGTAGTAGGGTTCCCCACTGCCTCCCGAATGATGAACATAATCTTATCCCCTTTGAAGCCTTCATCAGATGCGAGGATGCATACGATGATGTGTGAGATCGTTCTCTTCAGGGTAGGAAGATCTTGGGGCTAGTGGAGACCTCGTACACGCCGGCGTCTCTGAAGGTGACGGGGTTGACCTCCAAGTACCAACTAGTCGCTGCCTCTTGGGTGTAACACTGAGACTGCGGTAGAAGTTAGAAAAAGAAGTGGGGGTTAATGTCTGTCTTCTTTAATATAGCGCTGTTTGGTGGTTCACTTGAGGAAGAGCTGGTTCTTGTGAGGAAAAGTGTTGGTCATGATCCCCGCGTACCTCTGCCTGGTCTGTGATGTAAAGCTAGTGGAACTTCTGAAGAATAAAACACGATAATTTTCATACCAAAGAAATTTGTCCTTTAATAACAGTTCCCTATCATGGATGCTGATAATAATTTTTCGACTAAGAAACTTACATATCAGTAAACCAGATGAACTAATTAATTACATCTTTATTAAAAAATCAAATAGCTCGATAATCTGGCCAGGCATTACTCCTTTATATAAACTCCGCGGCTGCAGCGTGCCACGAGAATGAAAAACGCGAACCTTAGAGAGAAATACTTCAAAGAGCCACCATCAGAAGCACTTCCCAGAGGCATGAAAACATTTTCCGCCTGCTTCCAATTTTTTAATCTCGACTCATCCCCTCCCCACTGAATTCCTTCAAGCATTTTGAATTCATCCATTTATCTGTTACCTGATACTTTTTCCTATAGTTGATCAAGAAGTTCCTTAATTCTTTATTAAGAATTATTTATTTATTAATTAATACATATTTTCACGCAGTCAGCTGTTGCACGCTTGTATTCATATAATATATAGTAAATGTTCAGCTTATCTGAAAGCGTAAATAAGGATGCTATAAAAACGTGTCCTCACAATATCTGTACTGCAGTTTGGACGCCAGCGACCAGTATAAAAAAATTCTGGTGATTTAGAAAAAAATATTTTCATCGTAATATTGGTGCTTCGGCGGAGTAATGTGCATGGGTCTCGGTAAAGATTAGAACGTTTGTGATTTCATCTTACCACTTGAAATTTGAAGCTTTTTATAGTTAGAGAACTGTAGATCACAGTAAGCAAATCAAATCCCAGCGTCGTTTTTCCTTATTCTGACACTTGTTGTAACTGCAACTCAACTATTCCTTTGAGATGTATTTTATTGTCTCAATAAACGTACTTGAATTTGATGTAAACTATCTTTCTTATATAGTAAGAGAGTTACTTACTTATTTCTTATAGAGACTGTCGTTAGCCTCTTCTTAACTCACTCATGATATAAAATGATAATTGATATGTATATGCGTACATGTATGCATATATAAATATGTATGAGTTTATATGTATTTGTGCATGTAATATTAACACTTGTGTAACTAGCTTCACACGATTGTCACTTGCTTAGCTAAACGACAGATGGGATTCAGTTCCTGAACCCTTTTAGTGCCTCTGTAACCCTTTCCACCACCGCCCACGGGATGGGTATGAGGTGCATAATAAATAAATGAAGTGACAAATTAACCGAAGGGTGAGAGTGTGTTCCTCTTTGTTAAAGAAGCGGTAACCGCATGTTTGGTAACTTCTCCGAGGTAGGCGTTAAAACGTCTATCAATTGTAAATTAACACTGAACATATTAACATGTACCAGCTGGCGATGCTGCCACATATAGATCAGTTATTAATAAAACATGTGAGCAAATATTATGACTATGGGGGGAGCCGGGGGACCGGGGGAGCCGGTCGGCCGAGCGGACAGCACGCGGGACTTGTGATCCTGTGGTCCTGGGTTCGATCCCAGGCGCCGGCGAGAAACAATGGGCAGAGTTTCTTTCACCCTATGCCCTGTTACCTAGTAGTAAAATAGGTACCTGGGTGTTAGTCAGCTGTCACGGGCTGCTTCCTGGGGGTGGAGGCCTGGTCGAGGACCGGACCGCGGGGACACTAAAGCCCCGAAATCATCTCAAGATAACCTCAAGATATGGGATGGGCCTGAACTCGTGTCCCTGAACTGTGCACCATGAGGGACTCGTCACGATACAGTGGGTAGTCAGCCCTATTTTTTCCCCGACGTAAAGAATGGTCGTTATAAAGTGCCCTTATCCAAACCTACCAGAGGACCCAAAACAGAAAACGGGACAGTATTTCAATTTCGCGAGCAACTACCAATTTTTAGTACAACAATTTTTGACTTTAGGTAGAGTGTACGTCAAAATTCGACGTTTTATTAGGAGGACGGCCTATAATATTTCCTCATAGATACATACCATTATTATGATTTCATTATACAAGACACGTATTATACTGTATGAATGCTGGGACTGTGTTGCATTATACTTCACGGACACTGAAACAATGTTGCATTATAATGTACAAACACCGGAACAATGCTGTATTATACTGCACGAACACTGGAACCCCCAATTTGGAGAGTAAGTTGTAATCATGTAATAATTGTAATATTGCTGCCGTTTTATAATGCTGCCGTGTTCAGTTTCATTGCATATATATTTTAATATGACATTTTGCATACTAGACTGAATACAAATACAAAATCTCCGTCAGCTCCTCAGAGATGATACGTGTACCTTGAATGTAACAAACATTTCCTCACTGCATGGCAGTGCTGAGGTCCCAGAACATAACAATGGTCGCTCTTTGGTACTTGGTTTATATATTGAGTTTAATACTCTATTCATTCAAGAACTTGAGTGCTTTCTTAGCCCATGGACCAAGTATGTCTGAGCTATTTGGAACGAAGCATTAGCACTACGCAAGGCCTCGGTAATTGCAGGCGATGAGTCACAATAACGTGGCTGATGTATGTTGACCAAGCCACACACTAGAAAATGAAGGGACGACGACGTTCCGGCCCGTC